TTCTAACTAGAAATTACTTTGCTTGGATGTATTTTGCTCTAGGCATCATAGAATGTCTTCAAATGGTAGGTCTAGCTCTTAATGGAAAAAAAAAGTAGTTCTTATTAACGGACAAAAAAATAGCTCTAGTTAGCTTGCAATTTCTTCAGCCATCATAGAAATTGATGCAAATTTCTTTTTTTTTTCAATAAATTGGGGATACATGTATTTGTATTTTCCTTATGATTGCTACAAATTTTGGCCATGAATATACTGGATATATTTTTTTCCCCTCAATTGCAGGTTTTGTGCAAGTTATAATCGACGAGGTTTCCGAAAGGAGTTGGATTATTTTCTATTTCATAACATCATGAGTTGAACATTCAACTTAGTACATTTTTTAAATTTGATTTTTCACTTTTAACAATTATACAAAATTTTCAATTTGAAATAGATACAAAATTTGCTTCTGTATTCGATCCTTTGAAGTGAGAAATATGTGAGCCCAACCAAAGGCAGTACTACTTTTCTGAATTATATTCTTTTTTTTTCCTTAACATGGACTGTAACCATTTTTCACCTTTTTTTTCTTGGAAATATTTCAGAAGAAGCACTTTACTTTATTTTCTAAGTTTCTCTGAACAACTGTAACTTATTGTTGAATCTTTAAAGAATATCTATCTCCAAATGTTAAATGGCACCTATCAAGAATGTAAAAAAGTTAATATAAAATTTTTATTCTAACTTCTAACAAATCAGAATAGTTTTGGCCATTTCATCATTGGATTATAATTGATTTTGATTTAATTATTTTTATATCTTGATAAAAAAGTAAGTGTGATGATAATGAGACTGAAGATTGAAGATCTGAAACCCACGACTGTGGCACAAATTTTATTACCTCATTTTTTTATTAGGTTATTTTATTTTTTCAACTAATTAAAAGAATAAAGTTACTAAGTAAAAATGGGAAAATAAAATAAAGTAACTACAGGATGGGATAAGGGGTTCTAATATAAGTAGGGCTAGGGTTAGGATTTCATAAAAACCCTAGACAGAAAAATAACCCCAACCTTACCTTTCTTTCGTCTGCCTCCCTAGAGCAAGAGCTGTCGGAGAGAAGAGAAGGAGAAGCAAGCAACACCGTCAATCGATCCGACGACTAGACACCTAAACCTGTAAGTCTCGAGTTCACGCAAGAAAACCTCTCTTTTAAGTTTTAGTAGTTGTATTCACTTTTCCTAGGAAATTTCATGTACATATATTGTTGCTATATAGGTTTAGATATATATGTTTCGATAAGATTCGTATCTGGGTTAATAGAAATAAAGGGGTTGATTTTAATCTTAAGATTTTAAGGCGTACGAATCTGTTTATTAAAAAAAAAAAAAAAAAGAAAGGAAAGGGAAGAGCAGCGGCAGCGGCGCCGCTGCTCTGTTTCGGTCAGGCGTTGCAGAAGCAACGCCACATGAAGAATTCCAAGGGTTGGCCGAGGCCAACCCAAGACAAAAAAAAAAAGATGAGATGATGTCACCAGCAAGTGCTAGCAACAATGGGATTTGGGGTCGCCAGACCCTCTGGCGGCCATGGGCACTGCCGGAATTAAAAATATATATATATAATAATAACAATAGTAATAATAATAAACAAAAAAATAAATATGTATAAAGGGAGGCAATTTAAACTTGGACCAAACTATAGCATAAAAATTTAGTAAGTGTTTAATAAATAAATTTTAAATATAACTAGTCCATTTTTATAGTATACCGTGAATATTAAAATGCAAAACCCAATTTAAGGCAGTTGTTACAATGGAAGGGTTAGTCATGTAAAGTTATACTTAGATAATTACGTATAAGATATTTTAATGGAAACCTAAAGCATCTTAATCTAACTGTATTAAGTCAAATTAGACAAGGTAAGATAAGTGCTAAATTGTTAAGCGAAATGTTTAAAATCACAATAATAATAATAATAATAACAATAATAATAATAATAATAATAATAATAACAATAATAATAATAATAATAATGCTAGTAATAATACAATAACGATAACAATAATAATAGTAAATAATAAGGTTGACGAGAACATTAATAATAATAATAATAAATAATTGTCTTCTTTTAAACTAGGAAACTTTACAAAAAGGAGAACCGTTTCAATTAAGAAACCTTACAAAATGAACACTTTTCAAATTAAGAAACTTTCCAAAAATAGAAACTTTCCAAATTGAGAAACTTTCCAAATTAGGAAACTTTCCAAAATAGAGATCGTCCAATTTGAGGGGAATGCTATTAGGGTTCACATAATAGTCTAGACATGAATCTTCGACTTACTCAGAGTTGTTTGCTATGCATTTATAGGAAATAACAATTAATTAGGAAACCTATGCATTGATAGGTACGGTACCAGTTAAGAAACCAAAAATAGCTCCATTCGAGCAGCTAAACGAAGGTAGGTGGTACTTACCCTTCTGAGATTTCAAATGTGCAAAATAAAATTCTTGTTTTCAATCCTATTTGGTTGTGTTGACTTGGAAAGTGTTTGATTAAATGCTTTACTTGGATACTTATGAAAGCTATATTTTACTATACAAAATGGGTCATGTGACTTATTTGAAATGTTTTGATATGTTCTTATATACAAGATAAGCTGAATCCTTTATGAAAGCAAAGATTTATGCATATGATATATGAAATGAATTTTGACAAGTAAAACTCAGAGCAGTCATGGAATAGACGGTAGGGGTTATAGTCCTGTCTAATCGCTATGGTAGCCTGGTATAAAATCCGGCCGATTGGTAAGATCATGGTAGCCTGGTATAGAGTCCGGCCGATTGACAAAGCCATGGTAGCCTGATATAAAGTCCGGCCGATTGGCAAGGTCATGGTAGTCTGGTATAAAGTTCGGCCGATTGACCCAAGAATGAAATGAGATCAATCGATAGTCGCGAAATCTATTGGTCACCCACCTAAAAGGGGTTTAATCTCTAGGCTGAGTACTCAGTAGTCGGTCATTACATGTACTTGTTATGAGCTGATATGGAATGATTTATGAATTGATTTGAGATAAGACTTATGAGCTGATTTGAAATGATCTATGAACTGATATGCAACGTTTTACAGGATCATTTATAAATGATTATGAAGAGACTTATGAATTGCTATAAAGTGATTTATGACGTTACGATTTCTCATGTATAATTATCAATGAGATGCTTTTAAATTGCTTGTCGTTCTTTACTACTGATTGTTTTATAAATGACGTTACTTTCAAAATTATGGATGTGAATGATTTGCAAATGATTTGAGTTGTGCTTATATATATATGTATCTCTAAAACTAAGAGTGCATGGTCCAACAGAGTGGTAAACATTACCTACTGAGCGATGTGTCGCTCAACCCACTTCTTACCATTTTTGCAGATTCTGAAGAGTATGAGTTGGTTTACGTAGAAGATCCTGAGGATGACTTTTATTAGCTTTAGATGAATAGAAGTTGGCAGGCTAACTACTTCTAACTATTAGTCTTATTTACTTTTGTTTCCGCTGTTTCAATTGGAGAATAAATGTACGAACGTCTTGATTATTCGTAGACTTTCTTTTATATGTAATTCGCACCGCACCTTATTTAGCTGAATTATTTAGTAATGTTAAAGTTAAGTTAGTTAATGTAGCCTTGTATTCTTGAGTGGGACTCGGGAGTACGGCGGATATTGCGTGACGGGCGCATGCGGGCTCGGAGCGTGACATTTTTAGTGGTATCAGAGTTTAGGTTCGAAATAAGATCATAAGGTAGAATAATTCACGAAATAAGTAGTGTAAGTGGTAAATTATGGTTGAAAAGGTCTATGTACTGTAAAGAGGAAGGAAGCATGACTGATGGTGTTCCATTGGTATTATAGGAAATGGTCGAACCAGTGCACGGGGAGCAGGAGAATTGTGACTGTCCAGTCCATTTGACGGGATGTGACGTGGCTCGTCTTAGGAAGAGACAAAGGTTTTATAGGGACAGGTTCCTGGAGGAGTCACGGACGGAGCTAGGAAGGCTTATGCATTGAGTGGCCGAGTAGTTGACCAAAGGCAAGAGATCTCATCACTGATAGTGTCGAGGGAACACATGAGACAGGACATGGAAGGCTGGCGGGGAGAGGCCCTCCGTCTGCGAGAAGAGGTCATTAAGTTGAAATCAGATATGGAAGTACAGAAGGGATTAGCTGATATGTATAATGAAGGATTTGAGAAAGTAGCTTCCCTACTCCAGAATCGACAGACGGAGTACGAAATCCTAACGGGAAAATATGAAGGGAGAAGGCAACGCGTGATGAATTGGATAGCTGACCACCAGCCTTTTGCACCTCAGATGCACGGTTGGAATCAGCTATGACCTGATAGTGATGCGGAGATAGAGGATGACCCCGAGGAGGACCCTGAGGACATGCCCATGAAAAATCAAGAGGGGGAAGATGGAGTTGAGAAGCAAGATGGTGCTGGAGAGGGCATAGGAAATGGAGCAGTTGTGGATGCGGAGGAGTAGTACAGTTGGCTAAAAGAGACTCCATTTAAAGATTTAATTATGTTATTGATGTTAAGGATGTTACCCCAAGAGCATTAGTAAGGTGATTGGCGATTACTCGCACAGTTTAGTTTTTATGCAATCGTAGGCAATGATTAGACAGTTTGGACTCAGGTTCGTTAGATATTTTCTCTTGAAATAGTTGGAATATCGACTCTGATCTGTAAGAAGTCGATCGTTTTGCCATTCGGAGTTAACGAATGAAACCTCCTATTTAAATATTTTTTTTAGTTATTTATTATCATTATAATGTGTTTAGCATAATTTCTCGTTTATGTTAATTTTAGAGTAGTATGCGCAAAGCACATAAGTAGGTAACTCTAGTTGGATCGTCTTAAAAGTGCAGATCCTTATATATGCTTACATATATATACATGTATCTATAATAGTAAATAGGAATAAAATGCTTACCTAGTTTGAAACTCATTTGTGTGGCTTAGGAAATGGCACCAAGCACTAGGCGCGGCGGGAATTGCAATGGCAGTCTTAATGGCGAGAACGTCCAGGGTAATCACAACCAAGAACCGTATCTAGGAAATAATAATCAGGATATGGGCTACCAAGGTGCTGGTTCAGGTGGGTATCAGCCCTACATGATGTTACCAACGGAATTAGTAACTGTCCTAACTGGAATAGCCCAAGCACTACAAGCGCAATCACAGTTAGCGCAACTTCAGGCTGTCCAAACCCAGGGTCATGGACAAGGGGGAACCCAATCCTACTATGAGAAGATGAAGCGGGTCCATGTCCCTACTTTTGATGGAACCCCTGACCCGGACTTGGCAGAAAAATGGTTAGATGAGATAGAAAATAATTTCGCACTTTTGCAAGTGCCGGAGGAAATGAAACACCTAATTGTCAAACCCTTTTTGGTAAGGGAGGCCAATAAGTGGTGGACAACTCTGGAACCGACAGTTACCCCACCAGTAAGTTGGACAAAATTTAGAAAGGAGTTCCTGAAATACTTTTTTCCACCTGCTGTGAGGATGTAGAAGATAGATCAGTTTGAAAATCTGAGGCAAACACCGGGGATGTCCGTGGTCCAATATTCAAATAAGTTTACGGCGCTGGGAAGGTTCGTGCCGTCGACCATAGCGGATGTTGAGTTGAAAAAATATAAGTTTATCTGGGGATTGTCGAGTAGGATTCAAACTAGGGTGAACACCGCTTATACCCCTTCGTTTAATGATGTATTGGATGCCAGCGTGAAGGCTGAGGCTGATTGCAAAAGATTGGACGAAGAGGGTAGGAATAAAAGGCCTAGACTAGGGAATGAACCGACAGTGTCGGAAACACTGAAACCTGGAGGACGGTTCCGCCTAATTAAGAAAAGTCGTGGGCCACCACCGAAAGTAACTGGAGGAAATATCTTTCCTACATGCAAAACTTGTGGAAAGATGCATCGGGAAGAATGCCAACTTAAGACGACTCCCACGTGCAAGACTTGTAGGAAGATGCATCGAGGGGAGTGCTGATTTGGATCAGGGGCTTGTTTTGAATGTGGACAGTTGGGGCTATGAATTGTCCAAACAAAAAGTTGGAAGGAGACAAGTATGGCAATCCCACTGATAAAAAGCCAAAGATTAACGCGAGAGTACATGCTATGACCGACGTTGAGGCGGAGGTGTCAGGCGACGTGGTCACAGGTACTCTTCTAATTAATTCGGTGCCTGCATATGTGCTGTTTGATTGTGGAGTTAGTCACTCTTTTGTTGGTAGAAAATTTGCAAAGTACTTGTGCATGCCTCCTGAATGGATGGACCACCCATATCGAGTAGCTGCTCCAGGAAATAAAAACCTTAGTGTCTCATACTAGGTATCCAAACTGTAGTGTGAAATTGGAGGATAGGAAATTAGAAATGGATTTAGTGCAAATAAACATGAGTGACTTTGATGTTATCTTAGGAATGGATTGGCTAGCTAGACATTTTGCCAAAATCGATTGTAGAAGGAAGAGAGGGTTATTCATGAGACCGGACGAGAAGGATTTCACCTACCAAGGAAATGTGGGTAATAGAAAAGTTCGTTGGTTATCCCTCCTATCTGCTATGCAGGCGTATAGGGCAATAAGGAAACGGTGTGATGCATATTTGGCTTATGTTGTGTATACGAAGAAGGAAGAGACGCCTTTAGAAAAGATTCCAGTGGTGAAGGATTTTTCTGACGTATTTCCGGAGGACCTTCCTGGTCTATCACCGGATAGGGAAATAGAATTTGAAATAAATGTTATACTTGAGGCGAATCCCATATCCAAGACCCCCTATAGGATGGCGCCCGCGAAATTAAAGGAACTCAAGGAACAGTTACAAGAATTATTGGACAAAAAATTCATTAGACCCAGTGTTTCGCCGTGGGGTGCGCCAGTATTCTTTGTAAAGAAAAAGGATGGTAGCCTAAGATTGTGTATCGATTATAGGAAATTGAATCGAATCACAATAAAGAACAAATACCCTCTTCCAAGGATAGATGATCTTTTCGACCAATTGAAGGGAGCTAAGGTATTGTCTAAGATAGATTTGAGGCCGGGATATCATCAATTAAAAATTAAAGCCGAGGACATCCAGAAAAGTGCATTTCGTACAAGATACGAGCATTATGAGTTTTTGGTCATGCCCTTTGGATTAACTAATACCTCGGCGGCCTTTATGGATATGATGAATCGGGTATTTAAATCACAGTTGGACCGTTTTGTGGTGCTATTTATTGATGATATTTTAGTGTACTCTCCAAATGAGAAAACTCATGCTGGCCACCTTAGAGAAGTCCTAACGATACTAAGAAGAGAGAAATTATACGCCAAGTTTAGTAAATGCGAATTCTGGTTAAAGAGCGTGGTATTCTTAGGACATGTGATATCAGGTCAAGGGGTGTCTGTGGATCCGAAGAAAGTGCAGGCGATCGTAGACTGGCCACGGCCCACTAATGTAACCGAAGTAAGGAGTTTTTTAGAATTGACTGGTTACTATCGAAAATTTGTGGAAGGTTTCTCCACTATTGCTATGCCTCTTACTAGGTTGACTCAGAAGAGGGCAAAGTTCGAATGGACAGATAAATGTGAAACAAGTTTCCAAAAGTTAAAGGAGAAACTAGTGTTAGCCCCAGTACTCACCCTACCATCCAGACCGGAGGGATTCGTGATTTACAGTGATGCCTCTAAAAATGATTTAGGATGCGTATTGATGCAAAACGATAGAGTGATTGCTTATGCTTCCCGCCAACTGAAACCTTACGAGCAGAATTATTCAACGCATGATTTGGAATTGGCGGCAGTAGTGTTCGCATTAAAAATATGGAGGCATTACTTGTATGGTGTACAATGTGAGGTCTTTACCGATCACAAGAATTTTAAGTATTTGTTTACTCAAAGGGAATTGAACATGAGGCAGAGAAGGTGGTTAGAATTAATTAAGGACTATGATCTAACAATCAGTTACCATCCGGGCAAGGCAAATAAGGTAGCAGATGCCCTCAGTAGGAAATCAAGGGTATTAAGAGAACCCATGGTAAAGGATCAGATGGAAAACTTTGAGGTGGAAATGGTGGACTCCACAGCTCAAATGCTAGCTCCCCTGGTGATCGCACCCACCTTGATAGATAGGATTAAGGAAATGCGGCACTCGGATGACGGGTTTGCAAAAGTTAAGGAAAAACTTGGAGTAGAACCCTTTGATGGATTTAAATTGAAAGAGGATGGGAGTTTGTGGAAAGATGGTAGATTATGTGTGCCGAGAGATGAAGGACTGAAACAGGAATTGTTGAAGGAGGTACACAATTCGAGGTTCTCGATCCATCCTGGGGGAACCAAAATGTATCAGGATCTGAAGAGAAATTATTGGTGGAATGGGATGAAACGAGAGATAGCCGAATATGTGGCCAAGTGTTTGGTGTGCCAACAAGTAAAGGCCGAGTATCAAAGACCTGCCAGCTTATTGCAACCCCTAGAAATTCCCGAATGGAAGTGGGAACACGTGATAATGGATTTTGTGGTTGGGTTACCTAGAACCATTAGGAATAATGATGCCATTTGGGTTATAGTCGACCGATTAACCAAATCGGCCCACTTCCTACCAATGTCGAACGGAATATCAATGGAGAAGCTGGTAGAAATGTATATGGAGGAAATCGTATGCCTTCATGGTGTTCCAGTAAGTATAGTGTCTGATCGAGACTCTAGATTCACGTCTAGATTTTGGTCGACCTATCAAGAAGTCATGGGGACTGACCTTAGATTAAGTACCGCCTTCCACCCTCAGACGGATGGACAGTCTGAGAGGACCGTACAGACTCTGGAAGACCTACTCAGAGCTTGTGCGCTAGACTTTTCGGATAGTTGGAACAGGTTGGTGAAGCTAATGGAGTTCTCATATAATAATAGCTATCATAGCAGTATAGGCATGGCACCATTTGAGGTATTGTATGGGCGGAAGTGTAGATCCCCCTTATATTGGGATGAAGTGGGCGAGAAACTGATCACTGGTCCTGACTTGGTGGAACGAACTTTGGAGAAAATTAAGATCATTCGAGAAAGGTTGAAAGTAGCTCAGGATCGAAACAAGAGTTGGGTGGATTCAAAGAGAAGACCTTTGGAGTTCTAACCGGGAGAAAAGGTATACTTGAGAGTGTCCCCTACCAAGGGAGTGATGAGATTTGGACGAAGTGGCAAGTTAAGTCCGAGATATGTGGGACCTTACGAAATACTGGATAGAGTTGGACCTCTGGCTTATCGACTGGCTCTCCCACCTATTTTTTCAAGGGTGCATAATGTGTTCCATGTCTCCCAACTGAGAAAGTATGTATCAGACTCAAGTCATATTCTGGAGGACCAACCCATCGAGGTGAAGGAGAACCTGTCAGTGGAGGAAGTTCCTTTAAGAATCGTAGATAGAAAGGATCAAGTCCTAAGGAGAAGGACCATACCCTACGTCAAGGTACAATGGACGAACCATACACCACGAGAGGCAACGTGAGAGTTAGAAGAGGACATGCAGAATAGGTACCCATATCTTTTTGATCAAGGTATGCAAGTTTCGGGGACGAAACTTTTTGTAAGGGGGGTAGAATGTGAAACCCATGACTGTGGCACAAATTTTATTACCTCATTTTTTTTATTAGGTTATTTTATTTTCTCAACTAATTAAAAGAATAAAGTTACTAAGTAAAAAGGGGAAAGTAAAATAAAGTAACTACAGGATGGAATAAGGGGTTCTAATATAAGTAGGGCTAGGGTTAGGATTTCATTAAAACCCTAGACAGAAAAATAACCCCAACCTTACCTTTCTTTCGTCTGCCTCCCTAGAGCAAGAGCCGTCGGAGAGAAGAGAAGGAGAAGCAGGCAACACCGTCAATCGATCCGACAACTAGACACCTAAACCTGTAAGTCTCGAGTTCACGCAAGAAAACCTCTCTTTTAAGTTTTAATAGTTGTATTAACTTTTCCTAGAAAATTTTATGGACATGTGTTGTTGCTATATAGGTTTAGATATATATATGTTTTGATAAGATTTGTATCTGGGTTAATAGAAATAAAGAGATTGATTTTAATCTTAAGATTTTAAGGTGTATGAATCTGTTTATAAAAAAAAAAAAAAAAGGAAAGGGAAGAGCAGCGGCGCCGCTGCCGCTGCTCTGTTTCGGTCTGCAACGCCACAGGAAGAATTCCAAGGGTTGGCCGAGGCCAACCCAAGACAAAAAAAAAAAAAAAAAAAAAAAAAAAAAAGATGAGATGATGTCGCCAGCAAGTGCTGGCGACAATGGAGCAATTGTGGTTGGCCTGTTCGGCCAACCAATTGGGATTTGGGATCGCCAGACCCTCTGGTTGGCCAACCATGGGCCCCGCCGGAATTAAAAAAATATGTATATAATAATAACAAATAATAATAACAATAGTAATAATAAAAAAAAAATATGTATAAAGAGAGGCAATTTAAACTTGGACCAAACTATAGCATAAAAATTTAATAAGTGTTTAATAAATAAATTTTAAATATAACTAGTCCATTTTTATAGTATACCGTGAATATTAAAATGCAAAACCCAATTTAAGGCAGTTGTTACAATGGAATGGTTAGTCATGTAAAGTTATACTTAGATAATTACGTATAAGATATTTTAATGGAAATCTAAAGCATCTTAATCTAACTGTATTAAGTCAAATTAGACAAGGTAAGATAAGTGCTAAATTGTTAAGCGAAATGTTTAAAATCACAATAATAATAATAATAATAATAATAATAATAATAATAATAATAATAATAATGCTAGTAATAATACAATAAGGATAAAAATAATAATAGTAAATAATAAGGTTGACGAGAACATTAATAATAATAATAATAAATAAATAATTGTCTTCTTTTAAACTAGAAAACTTTACAAAAAGGAGAACCTTCTCAATTAAGAAACCTTACAAAATGAACACTTTTCAAATTAAGAAACTTTCCAAATTGAGAAACTTTCCAAATTAGAAAACTTTCCAAAATAGAGATCGTCCAATTTGAGGGGAATGCTATTAGGGTTCACATAATAGCCTAGACATGAATCTGCGACTTACTCAGAGTTGTATGCTATGCATTTATAGGAAATAACAACTAATTAGGAAACCTATGCATTGATAGGTTCGGTACCAGTTAAGAGACCTAAGGTAGCTCCATTCGAGTAGCTAAACAAAGGTAGGTGGTACTTACCCTTCTGAGATTTCAAATGTGCAAAATGAAATTCTTGTTTTCAATCCTATTTTGTTGTGTTGACTCGGAAAGTGTTTGATTAAATGCTTTACTTGGATATTTATGAAAGCTATATTTTACTATACAAAATAGGTCATGTGACTTATTTGAAATGTTTTGATATGTTCTTATATACAAGATGAGCTGAATCCTTTATGAAAGCAAAGATTTATGCATATAATATATGAAATGAATTTTGACAAGTAAAGCTCAGAGCAGTCATGGAATAGACGGTAGGGGCTATAGTCCTGTCTAATCGCCATGGTAGCCTGGTATAAAGTCCGGTCGATTGGTAAGGTCATGGTAGCCTGGTATAGAGTCCGACCGATTGGCAAGGTCATGGTAGCCTGGTATAAAATCCGGCCGATTGACCCAAGAATGAAATGAGATCAATCGATAGTCGCGAAATCTATTGGTCGCCCACCTAGAAGGGGTTTAATCTCTAGGTTGAGTACTCAGTAGTCGGTCATTACATGTACTTGTTATGAGCTGATATGGAATGATTTATGAACTGATTTGAAATGAGACTTATGAGCTGATTTGAAATGATCTATGAACTGATATGCAACGTTTTACAAGATCATTTATGAATGAATATGAAGAGACTTATGAATTGCTATAAAGTGATTTATGACGTTACGATTTCTCATGTATAATTATCAATGAGATGCTTTTAAATTGTTTGTCATTCTTTACTACTGATTGTTTTATAAATGACGTTACTTTCAAAATTATGGATGTGAATGATTTGCAAATGATTTGAGTTATACTTATATATATATGTATCTATAAAACTAAGCGTGCATGATCCAACAGAGGGGTAAATATTACCTACTGAGCGATGTGTCGCTCAACCCACTTCTTACCATTTTTGCAGATTCTGAAGAGTATAAGTTGGTTTACGTAGAAGACCTTGAGGATGACTTTTATTAGCTTTAGATGAATAGAAGTTGGTAGGCTAGCTACTTCTAGCTGTTAGTCTTATTTACTTTTGTTTCCGCTGTTTCAATTGGAGAATAAATGTACGAACGTCTTGATTATTCGTAGACTTTCTTTTATATGTAATTCGCACCACACCTTATTTAGCTGAATTATTTAGTAATGTTAAAGTTAAGTTAGTTAATGTAGCCTTATATTCTTGAGTGGGACTCAGGAGTACGGCGGATGTCACGTGACTGGCGCGTGCGGGTTCGGGGCGTGACAGAAGATTCTTTGGTGTGCAATTTTGTATTTAATCACATATAGCTTAACTTTGCCTTTGATTCCAATAAACTTATGTTTTTTTTTTATTTGAATGCAATGAAGATGCTTATTGCTACCTATTCATGTATGAACTTTATGCATGTAGCGTTAAGGCTATTACTTATGATTATAAAAATCAAATGAACAAGTGATATATATGCTTTTGAAAGAAAATTGATCACTTACAGGTCCTAAATTTTATTGTGACTTGTAGATTTTTTTTGTGTATATAGTAGCATTTTCTTCTTCTTTTTTTCTTTTTTCCCTGATATTCTATTGGTTTTTGAAGTATTGCCTTCAGTTACTGACTTCAGTTATTGATGTTTGGGGTTAGGGTTTAGGTGTTTATGCCTTTAATAAGCTCAACATCATTATGTCAAATTGAAAATTCATGTTTGTTATGTTTTTACAACTTAGGTCACGTATTTGGAACCTAGTAGAAGTTAGAGATTGAATTGAAAAATGATTTATCCGTTAAAATTCAGGATACTGCAGGACCAATTCTTCGTCATCGGTGGCACACCGAAAATGGGATCAGAAAATAGATAATGAACCGAACTGCTAAAAAAGTAGAAAATATAATAGACAATGGAGTAGAGAAAAAGACAAACTTAGATGGAGTGAAAAGGACAAAGGAATGGTTTTGAGAGAATTCACCACATTTCTCTCCATGGTAGGTGCGAGGGCTGCACACATGAACTATGCACATTGGTAGAGGAATCAACTAATAAAGGTTGATTCTTGAATGTTTGAAAATCATTGTTTGCATAATCGTTGTTTTAAAGGTAGATAATCTAATGATAGAGAATTAGTATCTGTAACTCTATTACAACAACAACAATACTCTTTGGGTTTTAAAGGTGATACTAAATCCACAAAGCCTAATCACTTTAGACTTGACAAGAAATCGGTTTTGAACATGTAAAATTAAATTGTTACTAATGTATTTCTTTATAAATACCTTTCTATTTTTCAGATTTATATTTTTATGGATTATAGTTTTGTGATGTGGTGATACTACTAGAGACAATTTTTTACGTTGTGGTTTTTCTTGGGATAAACAAAGTGGTTGATGAGCTTTTTTATTTAGCAAAATGAGCAAAACAGTAGTTTAGGATTTTTGAAAATTTTGTTACACAAATAACAAAAGTAATGGAGCTAAATGATGTTTTGACAACCTTAGAAGTGGTAAGTGATATTAAGAGAAATCTCAAGGAGGTTTTTGATATTATTCCAAAAAAAACTGGGAAATCTTTATAATCACTGAAGAGATCCTATATTAAAGATAATTATTTCCTGCTATCATATATATTCAAAAACACTAGCAAGAAATGGAAAGTTTTTCTTCACCAGCTTATAAAACTTTAGCACAAAGCAAATTTATAAATTTGTATTTTACTCGCAATTTAATAATTCTGCAACTACCCATCTATATATAGGTACAGAAAAAATAATAAAAAATTAGTTCGATGATTTTATCTTTTTTCTTCATGTAATTACATTAATCTATTAAAATTATAACTTCTGATTATTTCATTTCTTCACAATATAATCCAATAGTAAAACCTCATACAACAAAAAAGAATATACTATTCCAACTGAACAGAAAAAAATTCATTGTATAATTGAATAGTTTTATACTATAAAAATACCTAGCTTAACAATCAATAAGTGGTTCTTCATAAATTAAGTAAGTGGTTATATTTTTTAAACAACCATGCACATTTTTCCTTTTGACTACTAAAAACTAACAGAAATAAAATATTTATGAAAAGATATACACATTGTTCTTTTTACTTTTAAACACGGACTACATTATCAACTCCAAAATTATAAAAATATTTGTACGCTAAATGTAAAAGTGAAAGGTCAAAAACAATTCATTGTATTTTTCAAAAATATGATTGTAATTAAATGCTTTCGGATGGGCACCGGTTATTACGGGTGAGTATGAGTCGGGTACCCGCCCCTAATATGATTTGGTTGATCCGACCCTAATATATCGGATCAGTCATTTTGTGACCCTAACCCGCTCCTAATGTCTTCGGGCAAATTTTCAATAAAAAAAATTACTTTTCACTTAATATCAACATGTTTTTCAATAAAAAAAATATATGTTTTCCAATTAATATTGGTAGAGATATTATAATCAAAGTCAATACATCACCATTCTCACAAATTTCATCCAATAATCAAATCGGTTTCGTAAATTTGGTACATGTTAGAATTATAATATCTAATAGACAATACGAAATTTCATGATAATTTTGAGTACATCACTATTCTCACACATTTCATCGTTTTACAACATAACAAACATAAGGATAATAAGTATTTGGCAACTTTCCCAACTTCCTTAAGGATATTATGGTACAAGACTGCATCACAAATGAGTCGACTGTGAAATCAAAGTCTGGAAAAAAATTGAATAGAGCTGATAATTATTGGAAAAAGTATAATCAAAATAAGTTTGAAAAATCTTCCCCAACTCTCTTATATCTTTGGAATAGACCTTATGGCATTAAAGGTGATGAAAAAGAAAAATAAATTTCTTTCACTAAAATAAAAGAAACAAATTTAGGAGACATAATTGCAATAAAATAAATCAAATAAATAATTAAATGAAAGACACAAACGTTTTAATTATCTAGCTAATAGAAAATTTGAGCTCCAAACACAAATCTTTGATTGAATTGAAGAAAAATTTGCAGGAAAGATCAATAGAGGTAGAATAAAAACGAAAAGGATGAAAGGGATAACCAATTTTTATAACAGAATTTCACAAATTTTTCTTCGTTTTGTTCATTTGGTTTAGGTTTCATCAAGAATATTCTCTTTCTTCAAACAAGATGAGGAAAGATGGATCATATGGGATTAGAATATGATGTTGTGAGCCACTTCACTTACACTTAGGATTAACAATTATAAAATTATAAAATGACCCCTAATTTTTTAATATTTATATAATATACCCTGCGGGTTGGGTACCCGCAGATTTTTATTTTCCTGATCCGTATCCGTATCCGTTTTTACGTGTACCCGACCCACATCTGCCCCGCTAAGAAAAATCGGATCGGATATCCTATTTTTCGGATCGGATCGAATCGGGTTGTCGGGTTTTCGAATCACGGATTTTTTTGCCCACCCCTACCGATTATGCATAGCACAGCGAATCTCAACTAGTGTATATACTGTCATGTTTAAATGAACACCACATTGCTGAATTTGAATTTCAATTGTAAATTTTACTTCTGTGACATTCATCTAATTATGACACCATATGCTATTAGTATATATAAGATTTATTTAGATATTTTTGTTTTATTCATTATTTAAAATTATATAAAATATAAATTTATATTTATTAAACTTGATTAGTCTTGATTGAACTTGAATGAAATCGAATTAAGCTCGAATAAGATAAAACAAAACCGACTTGAGACAAATTTTCTAACTTGAGTTGAGGTTGAATAATACACTATTCGATCTCAACTTGATTCGATTGCATTCCAATGTTGACAGATGACAAAAGGGATTTGCTTGAATAAGGCAAAACAAAATCGAGTCTGAGTTTTTAACTCGATTACTACTCGATCTCAACTCGATTCGATTGCACTCCAATGTTGACGGATGACAAAAGGGATTTGCTCGAAAAGGGATTTGCTCGAATAAGGCAAAACAAAATCGAGTCTGAGTTTTTAACTCGAGCTAAGGTTTGAGTAATGCACTGCATGATTTGGATTCGATTGTACTCCGATTCTGGAGGATGACAAAGGAGACCTTCATTTCAAGAAAAAAAATCTTTATTTCTATTGGAGTTGATCCGCCTTGTCTTGTTTAGCGTATACCATGTCAAAATCGTCAACTTCTCCCATTGTCTACTAAACATCACATGTGGATTTTGATTGCAAAAGTAAAAATTTACGACAAATTTAAACCAATAAAGGTGCTTGTAAACAATTAAACTTTGAATGAATGGTCAAGATTGAGACTATAGTGATCCTATAGCTAAAAAGGGAGCCTCTATTAAATAACAAATAAAATTTTCGATTGTGTCAGACTGGTGTCTGCGGTATTTTGAATTTTCGTCGACTTTTTTTAAGTTAAATTTTCTTGGAATTGGAATCTAATGGCGGTTACAACTTCCAGAGTTTCCGGAAAGAAATTGATGACTTCAGTATCAATATCGGCAACTACAGTTGGGAGAATTGGAAATGAAGGGTTTAGATTAGGGAGATGGATTTCTTCTGTCATCGACGGTGGAAAGAAGGTTGCGGCACTGTGGGGAAATGGAGATTATGGGAGACTGGGATTGGGAAATTTGGAGTCCCAATGGAAGCCAAGGATTTTGAATTCTTCTGCATTTTATGATCAGAGCCTCCGCGAAATTGCCTGTGGTGGAGCTCATACCCTTTTTCTAACAGGTTGTTGATAATTTTCTTGAGTTGGTGGGATCGAAAAATGTCTCCATTTTTCATCATTTTTCTTGTAGTTGATGTGGCCAGGTTTTGATGCATTTCTGATGGGTGATTCCCTGATTCTCCTTTGCAGAAAATGGCCGTGTCTATGCCACTGGTTTGAATGATTTTGGGCAGCTAGGAATTTCGGATGATAGAAGTTATGCTACTGTATGCACTCTCAACCTTATTGTCATGTTTTCTGGTCTTCTCGGTTTAGTTAGTTAGAGCTGTGGGTTTGTTTTCTTGTCAGTTTTGGTCAGTTTGTGATGTTACTCGGGGTTTTGGAAATATGATTGCCTTGTTATTTACTTTTACTGGATTAATTGTTTGTGGGTTCTGCTTGATTTAATTGCTTGCACACTTTGGTTTTGAATTTTGTTTGGATGTAATTTCTGTAACGAATCACGATAGTGCCTTGATTTAGCACTCCATTTTGTTTGTTACGTTGATAGGTGCATATTGCTGGGTACTTAATTTTCCTTAATTTGTCAACTGTTATTTATAATTGCTATACGTTGGATTTGCAATTACTTACTATTTCTGCTGTTAAAATGTTACAAAGACTGAAAACTTGGTTGAGTTCAAAGTTTTTCTTTTCAAAACTTTCCAGTTCAGGAAAGATGAAAATTTGATGGTGGACATTGTCGCAGTTTGAAATTTTTCATGGAGATGTTAGTATTGAATATACTTGTCTCTAGGGGATCAAGGTTTTACTGAAAATAAATACAAGTTTGTTGGTTGAATACGAGATACCAATGGCCTAGTAATTTCCTTATTATGGGGTCACCCTGTTATTGGCTAACTAATGTGGAGAGTTGGTTGTTCATGATCTCTGGTTTAAGTTAATATTGGATACTTTTGAATCCTACTGGCTCTAAGTAATTGTTTAGCATTTGGTATTTTGCTCAACAATTGCCAAGAATTAGCTTGACATCAGTTGCGCATATTTTGAGTTATGATTCATGGTTTTCATCCATTTTTGGTGTTCTTGAATATTGTTGACCATGTTGAGAGGATGACTTTGGTATAACTTTGTTAAGTTTGATGTTACTTGTTGGTTCATGGAGATGATGATGGCGCACTGCCATTTGATAATGGCATTTGACGCCTTGTCCAGTGGGTTTTGAGAAAACAGTGGCTATAATGTGTTCTAGAAAAAAGTTGGATGATGTGGTGGTTTTTGTCCATGTCTGGAGTTTTTGAATATTGTTCAACATGCTGCTGAGACGAGTGCTTTAGCTTATCTGAAGTTTGATTCTGGAGGGATTGTGTAAGAGGAGAAGTGGTGAACTTTTTGATGTTTTTCAAATATCATCTTTTGTATTTCCTTTTCATTAATTCCTCTTGCTGTAAACTGGTAAATTTTGTACAATCAAGAGCCTAGTTACCAAGATCATTAGTTTTACAAATTTTCTACTTATTTTGTGAGATGGAAAGGTATATTTTCATATGACAATTTACTATTTTATAAAATGGATAAAATATGAAGACAGAATATATTGCAATGGTTTTGAATTTTTATGAACTTTTGATTGAAAAATTTCCATGGAGGGTAGCAATATTGGCTATCCATTTTTGTTTTTGGTTCTTCACTTGCTTCACATTCATTACAAAGTTACAAGGAGGATGCCATGCCAATGACGAAAAGTGCAGTTTCTATATCGCCACCATCTCCCCTATTATTTTCGAAATTGATGTCCTGCATTTCTTGGAAAACCCATGAACCTGGGTTGTCTAAAGATATTTGAATTTACACACCTTGCATGTTCACTGATTTTAGCATGAGCTTGTATAATCCAACCTTTGTAGGTGTACTTATTGCTCTTTATTTTGTAAATTAAATTAATGAATCTTTGGTGCTTGGATTAACCACTGCCACTGCTAAATTGTCTAGGCTTTCCTAAATTGGCTGATGGTTATGAACATGAAGCTTCATGTCTCAGTCCTCATACTTATGATGAGCTACTCTATCCAGTATTTGGCGTGGCTGCTAGGGTTTCGTTAATGTACTATGTGGAGTGTCGTATTTTGTTTCTCCATGTTGATGTCATGGTCATGCTATTGAAGTATTGCATTCTTTTCAGGGGGTATAATTAGAATGTTTGATTTGACTTTGTGACTCAGTCAATAATATTGCATTTCATGGACACTGGTTTCATTTATGACCCTTATCTAGGCTATAAGTCCTTTTGTTGTCCGTAAGTGTTCAGAGAAATGATACTCCGCATTATGGATAAATGAGTTATTATCTAGACCCTTGATTATGGCTACTTTTGCTTATATTTCATGTAGAATGTTGTTGTTGGTATCTGACTTTCATTTTGGCTGTTCCTTGTTCAATATATTTAGCGCATTTGCTCTGTTAGGATAAAATGACATGGTTGTAAATTCTGCCTTTTAAGTTCAGCTTGTTCATTTGCAGGAGCCACTTATTGTCACTGGAATTCCTAAAGAAGTTGTAAAAATTTCAGCCGGTTATCATCACTCTTCTGCAATTACAGGTTTTAGATTTGGACCTTTTTAGATGCCATGTTCTGTAGCTGTGCTACATAATGTTGATTTTCCTTTTCACTGAGATTTGGTGATGGTTTCAATTATACTACTGGTATATGTGGTTCCAATTGTTCTGTTTACTTACAGTTTATTTTCTGTTCTTGTTGGTGGAATTGGATAAACTTAATCTTCATGCTTTACTAATCTTTTTATGGGACATCAGCTTCTCATATGCTTCATACACCAGGCTGCTCTGCTTTTTAGTTGTGAAAGAGGAATATAAGTTACAGGAAAATGTTGATTAACTGAAATATTCTTTTAAACTTGCAGCCCTTCATTTTTTGACTTTCTTTTTGTGGTGCAAATGGTGATATATGCGTCTCCGGAGATCGTGTCCTTAACATTTGTTTATCCTCTGCAGTGTTTTCTCAGTTAACTGAACCCTAGCTGATAGGAAGCAATTGTTAAGTCCAAAATCATACTCACAATAGCCTCCATCATTTTCCTGAGTAGCAACTAGTTGCTCACTGAGATTTTGAGCAAGCCATTACTTGCTCTTTCATAGCCAAGACATCGAATGTCGAAAGAACAGTACTTCAAAACAATTTACTCGAAGAAACCGGATGTCCAAGTTTTAGCAAGCTTAAATAAAATTGGTTCTTGAAGTGATGAAATTCTATATCTCTACATATCCTCTGCAGCAACAAAAATCATCTGAATAAAGGGAGAAAAGGAGCAATAAATGATGGGAAAATAAAATGAAAACGTAATTAACCACTGACCAATAAGATTCTTATCCTAAATATTAGTGAGGATCATCAATTAAATGTACCTCAACATAGTAAGATTAACCTTGCATGTTAAAAATTCTGTACATCGACTTGTATTGTGATTATTTGTTGGTAATTCTAGTAGAATTGTTGTTAGAGTCAGTTTTGGAAAGTCGAATATGGTGGGTTCTTGAAGAACTGGTTCATTTTTGGATTTGGCTGAAACTCCAAAGTTTACAACCTATATTACTACTTAACCTGTATGTTTCACCTTTCCAAGCCAATGTTTCTTTAGCATTCTGGACTTTACTGTTAATGCCTGTCTCCTGATATCTATCCTTGTCTTGTAGTGGATGGCGAGCTTTATATGTGGGGGAAGAACTCAGATGGACAACTTGGGTTTGGGAAAAGTAATAATTTAGCTCACCTCTACATTCTGTTGCCTTTTTGTTTTATTACTGAAGTGCTGCAATCTCATCTGAACATTATACTGGCTTGATTTTGTGAAAGGATGACGTAAGGATGTAATGTGTATCTGTCAATCCATTGTTTGTTATATCTTAACATTTTTCCCCTTTTCCTTCCTCCTTTTTTGATTTCCCAAACCTCTTAACCATTTTGGGCTTCTTTTTGCATAAGAATTTCTCCGATGTAAACCTCTAATTTTCCTTTCCTGTGTCTTGAAAAATGATGGTACATAAATATGGAACTTAATGGCTGATTTTCCTTTAAGATACTTAGGTTCATCCTTTTTGTTTCCAAATTTGTTTGTGCATAGTCTGACAGCAACTTTTAATTCCTTAATTTATGATGCAGGGAAGTTTCTGCACAATTTTTTGTGTCGTCCAAGTACATGTTAACATTGCTTTTCAATGATTTTCTTCAAAATCCGCTTTGGCTGGCCATTTATAATCTGTTAATTCACCATCTGTTGTTAGGCTTAGTATCTTCACTGTCTGTAGTTGTTCTTGTAGTTTTTAATATCTGGCTTTGTATTTAGGCATCTACTATGCATTAAAAAAATGGAAATGATTTCTGAAATTCTCTGTTAACTGCAGAGGCAGCAAAGCTAGTTACTCTTCCCAGTAAAGTGGAATGCTTGAATGGAGTTTCCATTAAGATTGCCTCTTTGGGTTCTGAGCACTCAGTTGCTGTTACAGGTTTATATCTGTATTTCAAGTGTGTTGCAAATGCAGTATTATGCAAACACTGGCAGTCTTTAATAGCAAAGCATTTTTTTTTTCTTCGTCTTTCTTGTCACGATTCTATGCGTTTACTGACCACTGGTTTGCTGTTAATGTCTAGATAAAGGGGAGGCCTTGAGTTGGGGTGGAGGAGCATCTGGAAAACTTGGACATGGTCATGGATCCAGCATATTGGGATTTCGAAAAAGTAACAGGTTCTTTTATGTGGTTAAGCATGCTTTTTTTGTTCACAGAATGAATTTTCTGTATAACGTTCTTGGAAGTTTGAACTGTTATTCATTCTTTTTTTTTCTCTCTTACATGACTGTCTTTTGAGATGGCTTTTTACTTTTAAGTAGAAACAAAATGTAGGTTTTGGGGATAATTGATCTCAATAATGGTTCATAGCTATGCCTATATGTTCACATTCGCCTCATTTCAGTGTTTTTGGGGCTCAATTTTGATTGTAAGGTTGAACCTTTTTTAGGCAAGTTTCACTCTTGTTTGTAATTTGAATGTGCTTTAAGGTGAATTACTGTAGATCCTTTTAATTTGCTCCGACTTTCACTTTACCCCCTGAAATATTTTTATCAGCACTTTGCCCATTTTAACTAATTCTGTTATTGCCATTTGACATCTTACAACAAATTTATTTGTCCTATTTAGCATTTTACCCTTACTTTGGTATGTTTGGACAACCTTACGTCACTCATTTTGATGCTTTTTTGGTTTAATTTTTTCTTCATATTTTACTTTTTTTTCCTTTCTTGCTTTGGTATAAAAATACTGAATTGTGTGGCATTACATATACAGTTAGTTGACTTTACATGCTTTTGGTTTGTTTTTCTTCATCTTTAGACTATGTTTTGAGTTTCATGTAAAGGAGGATTGGTGTCGATCGATGTGCCTTCATTGATAGAAGGTGAATAGTGCAAGTCATTGTCCTTGATAAGTTGACTCTGGTATTGGGTTGTAGTTGTGCGGTTATGCTAAGTTCTCTGGGAGGAAATTTGTTTGTAAGGGAAAAATAAATAAACTACTAAAGAGGAAAAGCATGGTTGGGGAAAAAAAAGACAGAATAAGGAAAATGTGCGGTAAAAACATTGAAGGGCAAATTCACCCACAACATACTGTACGTATGGTCAAATGTTAAAAAGTATTAACAGGGCTAGTCCAAGTGCACAAAGTATTGATTAAAAGATTTAGGGCGCAAGTAAAATTTTGACCCAAGTACTGGGGGTTTAATGCAATTAACCTCTGATTTACAATTGTGTATTTTGATTTCTGAGTGTGGTGCCCTATAGATTTGAGTAGAAGGGAATGACATGAATGGTTGACATGTGAAAGGTGAGATATGATAGAATAAGAAAAACCTCTTCAAGCTATAAACATGTTTGTCAAAATATCATGTGATTAGCAGATCCACCACCTGAAAGTTTCATACATCTTCATTACGTAGTACTGTTATGTATTGTTATTTCTCAATATGCCTCGTTAAAATATGCTTTCACCCTTGAAGAATTTTGAGATTGGCTGCAGCAGGAGAAGCTATTATCTTGATTATATTGGGTTTTCTTTTATGCAGTGAATTCACTCCACGACTGATTAAGGATCTGGAGGGAGTGAAGGTAGTGTATATGTCTAATTTTGTACAAGTGTCTGTTTAGTTTCTCAAGATCACGTTCACTGTGAGTTGGTCAAGGTATTAATTCTTTGATCCTTGTCACTCTGTTTCTTGAGAATATATAGGTTAAAAGTGTTGCTGCTGGGATTTTGCATTCTGCCTGCATTGATGGTAAACTATTGACCTTTTGGAGATGGTTAATGATCATATTCTTTGAAGATTGGAATTGAACTTTTTTTGGACAGCTTTTTCATTTCTGGGGTATTGCAGAAAATGGCTTTGTATATATTTTTGGTGAAAGAGCAAAGGCGAAGATGGTAGGACGTGGATTGCCACAAGAAAATTGTCGAATATCTTTTGCTTCCTTTCTTTTTTTCGTGAACAAAAGCTGCATTTTCACTAGTGATATGTCTCTAATATGTGGCTACTTTTTTACAAAAAAACAGGGCTTTGAAGAAGGAAAGAGTGTTACAGTTCCATCTCTTATGAGCAAAATGCCACCATCTGAAGAGGTTGCTTGTGGTGGTCATCACACTTGTATCATTACAAGTAGTCTCTCATTTCCATATTCTTGCAATTATATATTTCTTGTCATGAGCAATAATACGATGAATGCTGTTTTACTAGGGCAGAAGGACTTTTCTTTTGAGTATTTGCCCTGATTTTCTGAAGAAATATAGAACTGTTATTCATTTTATGTGATATACCCTGTCCCAATGCCATGATATCAGTAACATTTTCGCAAGCATCTAAGGCAGTAACATGGACCAAGTAGTCCTTGTTTGCTGAAGAATAGTGTTTGTCAGTGCCAGTAAATTTTACTGAAATTTGTCAAATCATCTTCGTATTATCTGGTTGATCTGGTATACTTGTGACTGAGTTACTCTGAGCTGGCTAGTTTCTTGTCGTCAATGATTATTTGCTTTTGGATCATTAAATTCTGTTGATATATCCACAAACATGGATTTTTGCTATTCAGGGACCTTCTTTTCCCTTCTACTTGGATATTGCGAAAACTGGCCCTTGTTGAACATTCCCCAAACTTAGATACTTGAAATTTGGCTGTTACCTATCAGAGTTAATCCCATCTTTGCTGAATCTTGAAGTCGTTGAAAATTTTTTCTGTCTTTCTTGGGTTTATCCCGAAAGCCTGCTTTGGCAATGCGGGTGAGACTGGTGATGTTTGAGAGTTTGCAAGATAGGTGTGTTTTTTGCATTACCTTATTGACAGAACTAAAACCATGCGAAGTCTTTTATTTTTAGCTAACGATGTTGGCACGCCAAAATTAGCTTCAGAGCTCTCTCTCTCTCTCTCTCTCACACACACACATACATATATATTAACCAAATTGATGCGGACACAAGTTTTATATTTTTTAACAACTTAAATGCAAAAAATACATAGATATTGAACAAAATAATTTTAAAGTAACCTTTTTGGATTGAGATTGTAAAAGAGCATGCATTCTTGAATATAAACTAATAAAATTTAGAAAGTTTTTATGTACTTTCTATGACCCTTTTTGAACAAAAATTACTTTGCAGGATAGCAAATATATCTTCTTTAGAATATATGAACTTTATTACCAAAAAAGTACTTTCTTTTTTATTTTTGTTCAATTTTTACATTTTTATACCTCAGGAAAAGTTTAAGAATTATGATGTTTGCTGCTTCAAAATGTATTTGAAGACATTTCATGAACAAACCATCAATAAAATGTTTACATATAAAGAAGAGGATGTCATAATATTTAAACGTGATGTTGGTTTTTAGTCATTTAGACCAATGGAAAGATAGCAGTGGAGTGCCCGAAACTTATTTTGGAGTTCCAAAATCATTAGCCTTCATTTTATTAAAGTTCAATGTTGTATTAGTATCTTACATGAGCATGTTAGTGAACCAGGCTAGTGAACTGGAAAGACCTTTTTATATGTATATCTTTTCTCTACCTTTCCTCAATGGTCCTATGCTCAGCTGAGCTCATAACAGAAGCTTTACAAGTGCTTCTAGCTGTCGGAAGTCATAAGACGTTACCTGGCTGACTAGCAGTAAGAGGCCAGTGAGTTGCGTGTGATACTGTTCTGGTAATCAATAATATGTCAACTGAACCTTACCAGACTACTTAAATTACATAGTAAGAGATACTCCAAACTCCATTTCCTCTTAAAGCTCCTTTTTTAATTAAAAATGTGACCCCCTGCCATGGACAAAGTCCTATATTAATTTCTCTAGGACTTTCAATGAGTTAAATAGAGATCTTGAGCCTTTCCACTTGCTGCCAACTGGTTTTGAGCTGGATGCTCATGATCTTTTCCATGGTTTGAGAGCACTGTCTTGGGTTTCAGTTCATACATCTCAATCCACAATTCCCCATGTGACTTCCATCCGCTGTAGGCTGTTTCAATTCAGGAATCTTCGTCTGTACAAGTCAAAGTCATTTGTTTTTTTTGGGGGGGGGGGGGGTGTTGAAGGTACAAATTCTGGCATCGTTTTTCTGGGGAGTTCCAAAATAGTTAATAAAGATATGGTCTGCTACTCAATTGCCACTTGGTTTTGTTCAGTTTGAGAGCCACCCTTTCTCCTTGTCCATGAATCTTTGCTGGAGTTGTACACCAAGAATTAAGCAAATACCAAATGTAATCTTCCTAATTGGTTTCAACTTACTTGGCTGATCGGCTGAATTATTAAAATTTTTCAAATAACATAAATACCAAAGATGAAGTAAAATGCCAGATAGAATTTCCCTAATCCATTTGATGTAAATTCAATTGTCTGCTTGTTAGCATGGCTTTACATAAGATACTATTACAGTTATATCTCTTTAAGAAATCTATATTGTTTGCACATGATATTTTTAAGTAGTATAATACCTCACAATATGGAAAGAGAGGAGAAAATGGTAGAAAAGGTTACTCAATTATTTAAGATTTAATCATTTGGTCACTAAACTTTTTTTTTTTTTTTGCAAAAATGTCACTGAACATATAAAAGTGTACCTTTTGGTGTAATTCTATCAAATTCCAGTGTTAAGATAGCTAGAAATGCATCCACACAAACAGTATGCCTAGATTTTTACAGGCAAAAATATCTCACAACCTTTGTGTGTGCATTGAAAAAAAAAATTAAGGATCTTCTCAGTTTCTAAACTTTACCAATTTTCTCTAGATCATGATTGTAGTATTTAATAGTACTTAGGAATTTTGGTCGATATTTGGAGAGAATTAGTAAAGTTTAAAAAATCAAAAAGTTCTTAATCTTTTTAATATGCACCAAAGATTGTGAGACCTTTTTGCCCTTAAAAATCTAAGCATACTACTCATGTGGATGCATTTTCAGCTATCTCAACACCAGAAATCAACAAAATAACTGAAAAAGGTACACTTATATGAGTTCAATGACCTTTTGGTAAAATAAAAAAAAAACCCTAAATAGTTGAGTAACCTTATTTGCTATTTTCACTAGAAAGAATCAGGATTAGAGAATTGAGTAGTACCTCATATTAATAGAATAGAAGAGAAATTTGGTTTGGGGAAAAAAAAAACTAACCATATCTTGTAGCTGCAGCAATAATTAAGTTCTCACATAAATGGCTGCATTTCTGGCATATAAGTTTTCTGGTATGTATGTTTTTTAAATTCAAAGCGCTAAACTATGCTTACCCTTAAGGTTCAAGAAAATTAGTTGTACTTAATTAACTTAAATTGTTTACTCTTTTGCATAGGCACATTTAGATGACGCATTCTATTGTATAGCTCAATTCCTTTGTGAATATTCTTACACAATGAGGAGCTTCAAGGGCAATATTACTTGCTTTGAGCAAGCAAAAGGACCCATAAATCTTTACGTGTTAGGTAAAAAGTATGTTGACTTAGATTGGGAGTAGAAATGTAGAACAAATCTCTTTACATGTTAAATAGAATAAAATTTCTTGCATTCATTTTGTAAATCTGTATAAGGGCAGTGCTATCATTTATTATTAATAAAATTTAAAGACCTCATTTGTTATCAATAAAATTTAGGGCAAACATCTCCTCTCCCTGTACCCCGGATTTGCTGCTAGAAAAGAGGGAAAAAGGGAATTCCTTTGAGCCCTCATGATAGGGACCAAGTACTATAAAAGCTATGATGAGGTCGTGGAGTCTAAAAGATTAAGACATAGGTCAAACTATTGTTTTAAGCATCTAAGCTGGACGGAGCCATGTTGAGTTGAAGTTGCGCAAACGCCCCCCAAACTCTGGCAAATCCCTAAAGTTGGCTTGAAAAACTTGCTGATGCATAGAATCCCCTGCTATGGCGTAGTACAGAAAGAAAGTGGAAGAAAGGTCTCATTTAGTAAGTACCTCAGCGGTCTATTATACCTACTGTAGTCATCTAATAGCAAAAGCTAAAGTCTTGAGCTTTGTCATGCATTTGTTCCCCTTGAAATTTCTTTTGTTTCCTTTCTTCATCTATATTGCATCCCTAAAATTTATACATGTATTGCTTACCTCAAATATGAAGACATCCAAAATGAAAATTTAACTATCATCTAAAAGCAAAAGCAAAAGAAGAATCTTTAAACTTTTGCCATGTAAAAGAAGATTGAATGATTTTATTTGAATGTGCTTTCCCAAAAACTACAGTTGTCCAGTGCACAAAAATAGGAATCGTATCATTGTTTGAACATTAGAATTTTTTAAATTTTTTTCCAGCCGATAAAGGATGGAACTTAAGAAGCGGAGAAAGGGTAGAAGTGTTTGAACTCAAGATCTCTAATTTTTGGGATCTCAACACTAGATTAAAACCTCCTTCGATATTTGAACCGGAAATTCCTTTTTTTTTTCTTTTTTTAACATCCCACCCCTTTCCACACCCCTACCACCCCAAGCCCAAGAATCTAACCCTGAACGTAGCAATAGGAAATAATTGAACCTGAAATTCTTTATAATTCTAGAAAGATTAAAACAACCATTGAAATATTTATCTATAATTTTGTGTACCATTTATAAACACACACACATGCATATATACATGGACACATGCATATATACATGGGTGCGTACACAACACATATATGTATAAACTTATAATATGTGGCCCAAGTTTATTATATAAAAAAGTTGAATTATTATGTAATGATATTCTAATCCTAGTTTAATCATCGTGGAAGTCAATAAAGTTCTTTGTTTTTAGTACTATTTTAATTCTTCGGAATGGATAATGGGAACTTCTTTTCTTTTTTCTTTTTTTGGGGGGGGGGGGGGGTGGGGAGGTGGGGTTGAAGAGGGGTTGTGGAGCGGGAATAGGGGGATGGTCGTGCAAAACTAGAGAGAAAGAAAGAAAATCTTCAAAATTTTGAGAGCACAAATGCAAGGTAAAACTTTACTAGTTTTGACTTTTTTTTTAAAAATAAAACATTAGCAATAACATACGAAGAGAAGTCTGCTGATATAAAGGTTTGCCAATTTCCTTTTACGCCTTGTACGAATGGAAGGAGGCTTTATTATTCTTGGCAGAAAAAGGGAAATCATTTGAACAGCCCTTCGATAAGTTGACAGAATAAAGATTGTGGGTCAGAAAAGAAAAATTAGATGGTATTCAACTCCAAAATACTTTTTGACCATAATACTCATCATCAAACTTAAAAAGTGGGCAGAAGCATAGGACCAGCATACTCATCCC